GCTTAGGTCAAAATGAGCCTATTCTCTTCCCTCGTTCCCCCTTTCCCACAGCAATATCGAAGAGAATAGAAGAGACAGCAAACACAGAAGTGAGCAAGAAGAGGAGGAATAAAGCCACCCAAGTCCCCTTTCCCAATGAAGGCTGTCTGCCATCTTGAATCCTGCCCAAGCTGGGGGAGAGTACAGTGCTAAGTGAACACTGAGTTTTATTAGCACCCATCCCCTATAATTCCTAAACTTGTAGAGAATGGCAGGAAGTAAAGGCTGAGCTCTAACCAACTGACATTCTAATTAGTGATGTCAGTCTTGACATGGCTTACTTGTCCTTTTACTTATCAATCTTTGTGGATCCTTGATCCCCAATGTCTTCTTGCTTCTTAACCACCGACTTCCTTACTAGACTGTCTTCCTCTATGTCTTGCCTACTCTCATGTGACATCTAGTAGCTGATTTCTTCTCAACTTGCTCTTGGGAACACTGATTTCTCATTTCCTTCCCACTGTGGCGAGCAGTAAATGGTTCCTGATCCACCTGCCCACCTCAGGTCCTCACTCCCCACATTGCCAATCCTTACCCACTGCAAGGCATGTCTCATCATGAAATGACACAAAACAGTTCATTCGCTATTTTACTTCCCAGCTTGTTGTGTTAGCATTTTGGAGATCCAGGCAAACAATAGAGAGCGACGCAGTAGGTAGAACTCATTGGTGGAGCATAAAAGTACCCCCCTCCTCCCGAATGGACGGAAAGTAGACTGTGAGCCCATCCCTGTCACAGAGTTGCAAGTTCCATTTTATTTCCATTGGATGAATGGTGTGGTATAAATGCACTGAAAATCATAGGACCTAATAAGGTGGCATACTTTTTTTTTTTAAAGTCACACACCAAATTGGGCACCTTCACTTATATGTGTTTGTGTTTAAAATGGTATTGAAAGTAGGTTTCAAAATGATACAGAACACTCCTTGATCCATTTCTTAAGGTTTGAATTTTGACGAGAAACTTGTTGTCAATGCCTTGATGGCAAAGTTTTTCATACGTGAAAGTGGTATCAGTGAGTTTACAAGAAGATGGGAATTTGCTTTTGTGCATGTTCATATTCAAGTTCTTGATGGCTGATCTCTTTTTTTGTTTTGTTTTGTTTGAAGTCAGTTAATAGTCTCTGAATAGATAGATCAAAATTTAGTAACTACCATTTGATAATTTCTGACTACATCCAGGCACCATATAGGCACTTACATGTGTTAATTTGTTTTCCAAATAACTCATTGAGGTGAAGGTATCCTTAGATTCGTTTTACAGTGATGAAAATTAAGGCTCAGAGAAAGTACAGAAGTTACCCAAAGTCACACGGAAAATCAACAGCAGAGGAGAACTTTAACCGCAGCATCTGATCCCTGTGCCCTGCTGTTTGTACTATTCTGTATTTCCAGAGTCAAAAACTATCAGTGTGAAACACAGGCTCGGCTCTGGACCCAGGAACATGGCCAGAGAAGAGAAAGAGTAACAACACCCAGGTAGCATACACTATATGGCAGGCACTGTTCCGAAAGTTTACATATATGTCATTTAAGTCTCACAACAGCCCTATGCGAAGGGTACTATGTCCACTTTACAAATGAAGACACATGAGAGCAAGCCATGTACACCAGCTACTCCCAGTATTCCTTTCCATGGTTCGTTCCCATGTTACAGATCACCCGGTGGTTCGCTGCATTGCCTAGCCCTTTACAGTTTTCAAGTCCCTGTATGCTTTATTTCATTTTTACTATCTTCATTTTATAGATAAGGGAACTAAAAAATCAGCTCAAGTTATTTCCCCAAAGCCATGATCACTGGCAGAGACAGGATCTGAGTGAGCCCAAGTGCTGTTTTTCAATCTTCACCTGCGGATATGTTTTTACTTATGAGAGAGAGAGAGAGAGAGAGAGAGAGAGAGAGAGAGAGAGAGAGAGAGACATTGATCAGTTATCTCCTGTATGCACCCCACCTGGGAATCGAGCCTGCAACCTTTTGGTGTATGGGAGTACAGGTGTTCTTATACCTAGCCCAGGACTCTTTTATTCTGGACCAGGCTGCACACCCGAAATGCGACTGTGAGAAAGAATGCCATCCTAAATTTTCAAGATGAAGTTAACCCATGTAGTCTGCACGAAAAGGAAAGAATCCAAGCTTGATTTTGAAGCAATGTCACGTTTCCTGTTTCAGGGCCTAGGTCTAGGACAAAATGATTTCCATTTACTTCAAGGTGGCAACAATCTTGCTTAAGGTCAAACTCCTTGGTAAAGGACTTCTCTTTCTGCCCTTCTTCCTTATCCAGAACAAAGATTGCTACCTTTTCTTAAGTCACACCAATATCTACACTAAGTCTAGAACTCATCAATTAATTAGAAGCAAAGAAAAACGGAATCTATGTCAGTGTAGATAACAGCCACCATTTATTGAGTGCTTCCTCCAACGGGCTAAGTGATTACATGCCTTACCTCATCTGGTTCTCACAATTTGAATAGGTGCTGTTGTTATTTCTATCTTGAGGAGAAAATTGAGTTTTTTAGAGGTTAAGTAACTTTCACAGTCACTCAGCTAGTGGTGGTGATTGTAACCCAGCTCTATATAAACAGCTGCCCTCCTGATTCCATAAAGTTCAGCCACCTTGTAGGCAGAGATTTACCCAGCCCTGGCATTCCAAATCCTTCCAACCCTTCCAGCGTCTGGATGGTAGGGTGGGATACTTAGTAATAAACACATTAAAATGTGGCAGCGTAGATAAAAGGACAGTAACAAGTGAGGGCAATATGTCGCTTCCATTCCCATCTTACCTTAAAGTCATTCATTCTCTGGTCTAGCAGATCTCCTTGTTCCTTTATAATGGTTATCACTATGTACAAGTATCGGACTTTTTTGCTTGTAATTGTCATTCCTACTGAAATGTAAGCTCTGAGGGCAGGGCAGAGCCCGTCCTGTTATTGCTATATTCCCAGTCCCTGCCACAGTGCATGGTACATAGGAAGCGTGAATAGTTGGAGCATGCTGAATGAGTGGAGAGCACCTAAAAGATGAGGATGCGCTGCTGAAAAAAGGAAGGGACTCTTCCCCTTCTGTGGTAGACACCTTGCTTTTTTTGTAAAGCTTCAGAACAACCATTTCTAAAAGGCAACGAATGCCTGATTTGCCAAGATTTAAGGAGAGATGTGATTATGATCTTTGTGAGTCCTTGCTCCTTAAACTTTTTGTCTTGGTAAACTTCTGCTAGGAATTCTGGCAACTCTCCTTCCTCTCTCCCCCACCCCTCTTCTCCTCATCCACCCCTAGTGAATACACATCCTTCTGCAGGCCAGCTGCATATCCGGGTTTGCAGACGAAGGCCCAGGTGGCTCTTCACTAATGGCTCATCCGTTATCTGCGTGAAGAGTCAGTGCCTTTTCCGAGTAAATTTTTTTTTAAGCTAAATTGACCTTTGGAAAAAAAATGCATTCTACAGAAAGCAGTGCTGTTTGCTCTCAATTCATCTCTTCTTTCCTTATTCCTTTGCTTCCCATCAAATATATCCTGTATATCTTTTTTTAAAGTTGTCTACTGAACACTGTATTTAAAATGCACACTGCCGAGCTTTCCCTTTCTGTCATACTTTTTAAGCAACACAATTCTAACCGGCTGCTCTAAAGAATCTCCTCTTCCTGACCTACTACTGCCCCCATATTCCTAACTCAACATTTGGGTATTTTCACAACATATATTCAGGTTGAAAGATAATACTGATATCTTGTTTTATATGAACCTTTATATACTAGGACCTGCAGAGGGACTGACTTCATTGGGATACTTTATGGCTTAATACATCCAAATGATTTATATCTCGTTTTGTCTAAGCATTTATGCTAATAAATTTAACAGATTCCCCGGTACTGCTGGGTCCCTCGTTTTCTTCAGGGGGTCAAAGTGAGAGGAAAATAAAGCAGTGTGTTACTAAAGAAAGAAGAAAGAAATTGGCCCAACCAATTTAAAACACAAATAAAACTGCAACACAAATAAAATCTCTGATTATGAAGCAACAGTCAAAGAAGTTCCTAGATCCACATAGATTTCTGTAATTGAGCTGTTTCTCAAAGGCAGAATAACAAAAGTGACAATATTCAGCAAACTAATTTACTGAAGAATATTTCGGTCCTATATAATTAAATCCAACACCGAGGAGAAACTGACAACTATTAAATTGAGTGCAGTTGGGAGAGGGAAAGGGGATAAGATAAAATCCAGTCTATAAAATATGTTCCATTATCTTTTATAGGTTAAAAACACACACACAAAAATACTTGGAAAGAGTTTTCTAAGATGGAAAGATTTTAAGATTATGTGGGTATTTTTTTTTACAGGTGCAGAATAAGCTGGGTGGTTTGTTTTTTTTCTCTTGGTTTTTTCTTTTTCCTATTTTCCCCCCGTTGTTTGCAAAGTTGAATCTGGGGTCAGGAGTTCTAATTGTAACCTCAGACTGGAATTCCAGATGGTGCGCTCAGGACTGGAAGCAACTCTCAGTTCATCAATTTCATGGGCCTAAGTATCTGCTCTGGCCACGGCCCGGCCTCCATCCCCACTGTGGCATTAATGCAGAACAAATTGAGACATATCCTCTATATAATTAGTTCCAGAATTTAAAAAGATTTACGGTATAAGAATAGAGGCAGCGCTGCGGAATCTTTTCACTGGGGACTCTCTGGGAGCTCGGGGACCATCTTATGGTGGTATCTGAACAGACGGGTACACTGTGAGCTGGGGTGAAGGGGAATTTTGCACTGCGCACCCAGCCGTGCGTGCAGGTCCAGGGCTCTCACACCAATTGGATCAGAGAATTGAATTTTAAATGTCCATAGGGGAATTGATTTTAAAAAAGAAAAGAAAATAGAATTACTGTTCAAATTAACAGAGGAAGCAGGGTGGGGAGCTGCGGGTGGACTATAACGAAAGACCCTCCCTTACTTATTCTTGTTTTCAATTTAAATTAGTGTGATTTCTACCGCCAGCTTGGATTTGGAAAACAGCCATTTAAAAAGCCTGCCCGTCGGCCCCGGGGTAGGCAGATTCCTGAATTGGAGTCGGCGGGGCAGAGAGGATTTGCGGTCAGGCTGCTGATGCTGCGCGTGGAACTCTGGGCGCTGGCCCTTGCGCCAGGCGCCAATAAAGCAGGCGATCCCAGCCCTTGACAGATCGCAGCGCTTCGTGGTGTTTATTCAGTTGTCCGCAGCCGCGCGGGGTGACGCCCAGAGCGCAGCCCGAGAGTACTCCCTGGTCCCTGGGACCGCGGTTGCAGGCTCGGCTCGGAGCTTGGTCTGCCGCAGTTGACAGCTCCAGGGTCAAAGTGGAGGGTTTATAGGTCCTCACCGCCCCCTCCCGTTAGGTCACAATTTTTTGATCTTGCAATAATTAAGCACTTTTCAGGCACCTCTCTCCCCTACGCCTTCCTTTTCTTTCTTTTTTTTAAAATTCTCATACCATTAACTCTGGAGAGACAGAGGGGATGGTGGGGGGTAAAGTCCCTGTGGACGTCGGGAGACCTGGGTTTCAGCTCTGCTTTGCCACTAACTGGCTACGTGTCCTTGAACAAGTTACAAAAATTGTAACGTTTATTGTGTACAAGGCCAACACTATCTTCCTGTCTACTCCTCACGACCCATGAGGTTAGGCGCTAGCATCGAGTTATCTCGTTTGACCAATTAGGAAACTGAGGCTCAGAGAGGCTGTGAAAATCGTCTAGGGTCACACAGCTGTTGGTTACCTGCAAGAGCTGATATTCCATTCTCTGGCTACCAATCCCTTGCTCTTAACCATTGCTCTCTACAGCTGCCTTTCCTCCTTCTGTCTGGGCCTCAGTTTCCTTCTCTGCGGAAGGAGTTGAATTCACATCTCTGCCAATCGGTGGTGCAAACAAGATCCTCTGCGCCACAGGTCTCTTCGCTGATGGGCGTGGAAAGGTGGGTGAGAGAAGGGAGCGACTAGGTCTTCAAAGCCTTTATTTCCCCGGGATCTCGGACAAGCCTCGACCCACAGGAGGTGCAGCAGAGCGCAAGGTGGCCCTTCGTCCGGGCCAGACTATTTGCCACCCCCGCCTCCCCCCGGGCCTCTAGGGCAGCGTGGCAGGCGCGGCCACCGGGTGACCACAGCTCCCGCAGAGAACGTTACCCAGGGGTGGGAGAAGTGGAGAGCGTGGGCACCCTGCAAACGCAATAGTTTGCCGGTTCCCCAGCTTTGGCCCTGAGGTGCCTGGGCTCCTGGGCATGGGGATGGGCAAAGGCATTCTGACTCCGGACGCGCACAGCACTTTTTTGGCCTCACCGTTTGGGACTACGAGGTCGGGCGAGGTGGCATTCTAAGGTTGAAATGAGATCACACCACAATTGTTTCAACTCCCCTTTCCTCCCACCCAACCCCACCCCATTCCTGGGCAAAACTTTTTTTTTTTAATGTAAAGGCGGAGAGTTAAGCGCCTTTGCCCTACCTGTGATTCAAAAACACAAAGGCTATCCTCTTCAAAATACTCCCCCCAAAGTTGCAAAGGAGAATAAAAGAGAAACAATGTTTGACCTTTTCGTTTGGAAATTGAAATTCCTGGCTTTTCTTAAAGGGTTCACCTTCCCTTGTAGAGCTTGAGTGAGTCCTAGTTAGGAAAAAACGATTTCGAAGTAGAAATAAAAGTGTGTGTTTGGGGGAGGGAGGGTTGGTTGAGAAAGAGGTCTGATGCGTTCTAGGGGCAACTAGGTCTCAGAACTTTTGTCTCGCCGGGTCTTTCTCCACCAAAAAGACCAAACACACATGCCCTCTGGCTGGCAGGCTAAGAGTTGGAGCTTTTGGAAGGCGAATTGGGGGCCTACAGAGTGTGTGTGTGTGGGGGGGGGGGGGGAAAAAGCTGGCCT